TGAAGTAATTACAATCCAATAAAAGTCTCAAAGGAAGCATTGTTTAGTAGCTAGGGCAGGGGAGTAGGAATCAGGAGAGAAGTTCTACTCACCAACTTTCCCAGCCACTGTGAGATCTTGGTCAGGTTTATGCAGGCTCACATTTTTAAAAAGTCTGGATGCTTCAATTTTTGCATGGCCAATTTCAGGCATCTCGTACCCAAATTTCACATGCAAAATCTATTTAAAGTGGGAAGCCAAACAATAGGGGCTACTGCCAAATGTCAAGACGTCCCTGATTACCAGCCAGGATTACTGGTGGAAACATCTAAAACTAAACAGGGGGAAGTTCGAGCCCAGACTGGGAAGCTCTTCCTTTGAAGAAAGGAGCTATCAGAATACCTGAAGGTGAGATACTACATGTAACCAGTTTCATTACTGCATTAAGCTTAGCTTGCATGTTCTGTTTTATTTTGTTTAGTAACCTAGAGTGTGTCTAGACTACACGGCTCCGTCGACGGAGCCATGTAGATGAGTTTACTAGACATAGCAAAATGAAGCAGCGATTTAAATAATCGCCGCTTCATTTATATCAAAATGGCTGCCGCGCTGGGCTGATCAGCTGGTTGTCGGCACAGCGCAGTAGTCTAGACGGGGATCAACCGACCCCAGAACCCTTTGTCATCAGATCCCTTATGCCTTGTGAAATGAGGCTTACAGGATCTGACGACAAAGGGATCTGGGGGTCTGTTGATCCCCGTCTAGACTACTGCGCTGTGCCGACAAACAGCTGATCAGCACAGTGCGGTGGCTATTTTGATGTAAATGAAATGGCGATTATTTAAATCGTTGCTTCATTTTGCTATGTCTTTGCCGTCAATGGAGCCATGTAGTCTAGACACACCCCTACTTTGTTCTGTCTATCTCTTATGAACACTTCAATCCTGCCTTTTATACTTAATAAAATCTTTTTGTTTATTCAGAAACCCATTTTAAGTAATTGGTACTGGGGAGAAGGGGTGTCAAGGAATCTGAGCATATCTCTCTTTACCCTGAGAAAGAGGGAGAACATGAGATTTCATTGTAAAGACTTCATACAGAGTGAGACAGATTTATCTGGGGGTTCAGGTCATAGAATCTCAGAAGATTAGTGTTGGAAGAGACCTCAGGAGACCTTCTAGTCCAGCCCCTGTACCAACTCCTACTAAACCATTCAACCCAGGGCTTTGTCAAGCCTGGCTTTTAAAATTTCTAAGGATGGAGATTCTATCAACTCTCTAGGAACCCATTTCAGTGATTCACCACGGACCTAGTAAAATAGTTTTTCCTAATATCCAACCTAGATCTCTCCCATTGCAACTTGAGAGCATTGCTTTATGTTTTGTCATCTGCCACCACTGAGCATAGCCTATTTCCACCCTCTTTGGAACACCCCTTCCAATAGTTGAAGGCTGCTATAAAATCCCCTCTCATTCTTCTCTTTAAATAAACCTGGTTCCTTCAGCTTCTCCTCATAAGTCATGGGCTCTGGCTCCCTAATAATTTGTGTTGCCCTCTGCTGGACACTCTCTAATTTGTCCACATTCTTTCTGTACTAGGGGGCCCAAAATAGTATACCGTACACCAGATGAGGCCTTATCAGTGCCAAATAGAAGGGAAAAGTCACTTCCCTTGATCTGCTGGCAGTGCTCTTGCTAATGCAGCCCAATATGCCATTAGTCTTCTTGGCAGCAAGGGCACACTATTGACTCATATCCAGCTTCTCATCCACCGTAATTCCCAGGTCCTTTTCTGCAGAACTGCTGATGCTTAGTCAGTCATTTACCACCCTGTAGCAGTGCATGGAATTCTTCCATTTTAAGTGCAGGACTCTGCACTTGTCCTTGTTGAACCTCATCAAATTTCTTTTGGCCCAAGCCTCCAATTTGTCTAAGTCACTCTGAATCCTAACCCTACCCTCCAACATCATCAGGGACACTACTGAGGCTGTGCATTTGGGTGCTCAGGCAAGTCCCCTTGACTGAGTCTTCCCAGAGCTGAGCTGATCTCAGTGTCTGTGTTGAATTGCAAAGGGCTGTAATCAGGGGCAGCCCGTGAGCCTAGGCGAGCTAGGCAGCTGCCTAGGGCGCCGCTGGCCCGGGCGCCTGATGACATCACAGGGCGCCGGGGCACCCCATGATGACATCGCAGCCATTGACGGCCGTGCGGGCAGGGGCGCCGATTGCGCTGCCCTGCCTAGGGCACCAGCTGCTGCAGCTGGCCTCGGGCCGCTCCTGGCGGTAATCCTATCTCTGTGTCAATGCTGGAGGAGGCATGAATGCCTGTCTCACCAGGACAGAGTTGAGGAGTGCCCAGAAGGGCAGGAAAGTAGACTCAGTGGTATCTCAGCACATCAAGTGACAGTCACAATAGTTCTCAATGACCAAACCTGTCACAAATGGGTCAATTGCCTCATGTATTTATTCATCATTCACTGGATAACTTTCCTGTGGAAGGAAATTCAGATAACATTTATTTTCCTTCAAGTCAGTGCTTTTCTTATTAATGTTCAATTAATGGTGGTGTGCCCTCAATCAACCTTTGGTAATTTTGACCTTTTCTAAAGCGCATTGTCTCTGAGATTGGCAGCTAGCCCAGGGCAAGAGCTATTGCTACGGAGCCGGACGGACACCTAGCCAAACTGGTGCAGGAAAAGAGCTCAATAGCAAATCAATGTGACAGCAATCAAAACCAAACCTTTAAGGCGTCTTGCAGGGGAGATAATTAATTTTTCAGTATCATCTCAGAACTAATATTTCAGTGGCATTAAGGAACTAAATTGTTATTGAAATATAAGGCTTCTGGTTAAACTAAGTGTTCAAGTTTGCTCTTCTTCCTAAATCAAAAAAGGAACTGAAAAAAGTTATTTTTTTTAAATAAAAGAAATAATGTACTCTGTGGTATAGCCTGCTATTTATAAACTCAAAACCATTCTGAAGCTTGCCGCTAATACTGGAGGGCCTCCATAATAATCTCTTAACAGCAGCATCAAAGATCATCATGGTTTAATTTATGGTTACATAAATATTCCCGAGAGTTAAATTTAGAACAATTTCCTCAAGACAAGAAGCACAGTGTTCTCACACATGATAGAACTAGTGTGCTCATCTCACTCCTGTATGACAGAAAATAATGTACTGCACTATAAGTTATAATTTTGTTTATTTTATGGGGGCAGCCATGTATGTTCTCACACATGCATGCACACAGAGATACATTTTTTTGCAGTATTACACATGGCACCATCCCTTTTTTCAGTAACTTTTTCCCCAGAAAGTGGGACCTTCCTGAACCATAACCCTGGATCTACACTATCCTGAATGCACTTAATTTTGGAGAACTCCAAATGTGGTTCTGAACTTCACAGCTGTCATCTTTGTCCAGATTCTTCTCTGCTCATTCTGCTCCCCCAAAACAATATCTCTGGGGAAATTCTAATCCACAACCAGATTTTGTGGATTCAGTTTCTCTCTATTTTGTGATTCTCATTCAGCTGCAGTCCAAAATGGGGATTTCCACTACTGAAGATGGCAGTAGAGTTTTACAAGATCAATTATTGTTATGAGATTTCTGCTATTTTAGGATGAAATCTGACAAGCATAGATCATGAGATTTTGGGACACCTGAGTACCAGTTCCAGTTTGGCCTCCGATTGGAACATTAATACATGTCCTTATTCAAACATTGCCATGTGCTGTATGAGGAACAGAAATATGTATAGAAGGGAACTTAACTCTGAGAGCAACCACATTTATAAGGTGAGCTGGAGTTTCCGTTCTAGCTCTTCTGATGAAGTGGGTTTTGCTCACAAAAGCTCATGATACTAGATATAATTTTGTTAGTCTCTAAGGTTTCACATTGTTAGCCCTTCTGTAATACTCCATTCCCTATTTTAATGATTGACACAACGTACTGTATTTTGTTTGATGGTGGAGAGTTTACTTTGGATTGTATTTGATTAGTATTAGAAATACTTCTTTTACTTGTCAACTGCTCAGGGAACTGGCACAATATCTGGTGTATGAGCCTAGGTTTGTATTACAGAAAGGTAAAGTTATTATCTCTGATATACAAATAAGAAACTCAAGTGAGTAGAAGAAATGAGGCATTCTAAGCTGTTGGGAGGACAACTGCAGAAAAATAAAGCTATATGTATGTTTTACGGGATTATAATGGTCTTTGTCAAAACTATTTTACTAGCACATCCATAGATAGATAGCCTGTATATATGTCTGAGTTCCTGGAAATATTCATGTTAATTTTATAAGCAATGAAATCTACATAGTACTGTCTGCACTGTTTCTATTATTCATCCGTCATAAAACTTTAATGTGTCCTTTCTACAAAGAAAGAATGTCTACCCAGCAATCTATATATATAGTCACAGAAAACTGCACATACAAAACTGCCAGAAAATTCAAACATCTTCAAGTGTGTGAGCCAGCAAAGCTGCTGCCACTGAGCTCATTTGGAGTAGGATTTTGTTTAATGTGTGTGAGTTGAGCCTGAGGCTGGAGGCGACTGTGTCAAACAGAAGGAAAGAGAAAGGAAAGGAGAGAGGGAGGATGAATTGAGCACCAAAACACGTCTTTTCAATTGGAGATTGGTGGGTATTAAAATGCCCAGCACAGCTTGCTGCCTACATGTGTCTCCCGCATCTGTGCAAAATCACAGCTTGCCCATGGGCACAATGCCAGCCACAAACATAGGAGCTGGGAGCTGCAGAGTAGAAGCAACATTTCCTGATTCCCTGTGGACTGTCCAGGGCTTCAAGGCAGAGATAAATTCTGTTACTATTCCTCATGTGCCTACTACGTTTCAGAAAATGACACTAGTTTTATTTCCATGTCACACTTTTTCTGCTTGACACCTGGTGTCCCGTCCACTCACATGGTTTATCACCAGCATGAGCCCCTCCCGCTGCCTCTGAGTTGTTAAAAAAGGACTTAGTATTTTTATCTATATTATGTATTCCTCCTTACCTCATTTTACATACTTCCAAACACGGTCTCTCACTTTTTATCTTACTGCATGGTCTTGAGATGTAAATGTGATCCATCCTGTGGCAAAAAGAATGGGGTTGAATTGAAAGCAAGAACAGGTTAATAACGTAGCAGAATGGAAATCAAATTCCTTGGTACCTCTACTTGTTCTCAACTGCTGTGTTTCTTGGTAAATTTTAATTTGCAAAATATTCAAAACAAAGATCTAGTTCATTTCACTGAAAACCTACCAACGATCACATGTCTGGCCTTTAAATGTTTTTGATAAGCAGGCCAAAGTGCATTCCCCATAGCCATTAAATCCCACATGTCTCATTTCTATAGGCCACTATTATTTATTAATAGTAAAATCTTTACTGCTCAAATAATAAACATGATTTTGTTTTGTTGTCCATTTCGCTCACTTCTAATACCCCATTGTGTTGTTTCTGAGCTATAGCGCCCATCTGAAGAATCAACTTATGTAAATAACTAAGGGTATGTCTACACTACCCCGCTAGTTCGAACTAGCGGGGTAGTGTAGACATACCCTAAGAGGTTAGAATCAGACTGTGACTGGCCCCTATATGAGTATTCAAATAGCCTTCCCACCTTGTGTTTCTTGCACAGGACCTGGTAATACTAGTCATCCTTCATGTCCTCCGAGGGTGGTTGCTAAATTCTCTGGTGGTGCAAAAGGGGCTGGCAGGAAAAGAGACCATGCCCTCCTCCCTGCCCCCCCAGCTTTCCCATCAATCAGCAAAGCTGGCTAGCAACAGAGGACTGTAGGCTCACTGCACCACCTAGGTGTGTTGGAGTGGGCATACACTTCCTGAATTCCTAGGAATTCTGAAGAAGCATTGTGCTGCTTAGTTCCAGTGGCTGTGTGGTGTTGTTGCAGGTTAGTGTGGTTTGGCACCCACTCACAATCTGTACCAGTCCCTTATAGACAAAATTGATGAGCTCTGCTGAATGTGGTATTGTAAATTAATCAAATACTAGCATCGTTACCCAAAAGGATACTTGTTTTCCCAGCCTACGACTCATATGGAGATCACTGGAACACTGAAGCCATAGGTTAAAATAGGAGCATTATTATAAATCCAAGGAAAATTTACTTTGATTAACAGAGTGCACAACCTTCCACTTCTAATAAACGAGGAGGAATTGGCAGCTAACCTTTCATGCTTTCAAAAAGCTCTGCTCACACGCATATATGGTATGGGCAAAATGTTGCCCTTGACTACACTGAAGCCAGTAGGCTTGCCCTGGTGTGCTGAGAACAGAATATTACCCTCCGTAATTTGTCATTTTAGCACAAAGCGCTGTTCCTGATGCTCTCTGCTATTTGCTTACCTGGACCCTGAGCCAGCTCCCACTGAAATCAAATGTGAGCTGGTCTCAGGGGCATTGGAACAGACCCACAGTGACACTGATGAATCTGTTTGTATCTGAATTTTCAATCTCTTTCACCCCAGCTGCCTACATCCACCCGAAAAGCTCCTGTGCTCTGTTCTAACCTTCCCTTGGGGTGCAATCAGTGTTTAATGTTGCAATTGACTGACAACACCCACTATTCTCCAGGTTGGATGCATTGGAGATGGTCTTTATTCTCTCTTCCTCCCCAGTAATTCCCTTTCCTAGGTTCTTCAAAAGAAGAATAATACTTCCTTTGCAGTTTGGATTGGATATGCCTTCTAATTAAATTCTCCTGATCAGATGAGCTAAACTCCCAATTTCTGCACACTGCAGATTAGGTTACTTTTCATTTCCACAGCTCTCTGGTGAGACAGGCTCTTTCTTCATTTCTGTGATATTGATTTTGTGGCTCTTTGGCTTTCCTCTGCTACAGGAAGACTTCAAATAATTCTACAACTTTACAAATCCCTTTTATAGTGATCTCAGGGATTTACAAATTGTCCCTTAAAAATAAACTGTGCCTAGCCCTCAGTTAATCTCCCAAAGGTTACACGTTATTAAAGCCTATTTTTATTATATGTTTGTGTAAGAATACAGAAGTTGAAGTAATATGCAGTTATAGATCACTGTCACTCCTGTACCTCTGTAGTATTACCCAACAGATCCATCTGGGAATAAGACTAAAAAAATTAATTTCTTTATTGCATTACTCCTTGCAGCTTGCAAAATTGTGTCAATATCCGGAATCCCTATTTGGGATGAGGAGTGTTGAGTCTGAGGGCCAGATACCAAGTTACTATAATAGTTTAAATCCTAGTTCTAATGATTTATAGTTCACATTGATTGTAATATCAGCCATGCCTCTGGTCAATGATTTGGACCCTTTTTTGTTGCCATTAGGGTTGAAAAACCTCAGTGTTGGCAAAACCAACAGAAATACTAATAGTTAACCAGATTCACTGCTGGATTAGGCAACAGTAACAATAGCTCAGAACTGAAAATAAGAATGACCATACTGGGTCAGACCAAAGTTCCATCTAGTCCACTCTTCTGTCTAAGATTTCCAGGTGTCCGGTTTTTGCCCGGACAGTCCGGTAATTGCATCCTCTGTCCTGTTTAAAAAAAAACCCCATTTGCACTGAAATGCATGGATTTGGAGACAAAACAGATAACCTCACTGCTTATAGGACTTTGTATACAGCTGCTCTTCTTGTTCAACCAATTTTTCCTGACATGTTCAGGATTTTTTTAAAAGGATCCGGCAATCCTAATCGTGTCTGGTGACAGTGATAGGTGCCCCAGAGGGGCATTATTCAGCAGTAAAGTCTGTTCCACAATTCAGGATAATACGTGGTTCCAATTTGCCATCTCCTCCTAACATGGACAAGAAAGGTTCATTCTGCTTCATAGATAGTAAATACATAATCATCATTTGAAAATTTCTGTGGTTTTGTTTTTGTTTTTGCTAGAACTGGTTTGTCCTAAAAACTTGACATGAAGTTTGTTTAAATATAGTGGCGAGATCTGGTGCATGGTGAAAGGCATAAATGGAAAGCTGTTCAGCCAGCAAATCAAAGACATTGGAAAAGCCCATCAGGTTCCTAAGGAACACTGGGGGTTCTACTGGGCACTGGAAGGTTATCTGGAATTCTAACTAGTTTTAAATCAGGCATGGGCAAAATACAGCCCACGGGCTGGATCCAGCCCACCAAGCCACTGGATCTGGCCCATGGAGGCAGTGGGGAGCCCTAGGAAGGTTCCCCTGCTGCCCCATGCACCATGCAGAAATGCAGCTGCAGGACTCCATTTCTGTTTTAAAATTGGAGGGGAGGGAAAAGTTTTAGGAGCCATCCTTCCCCCAGCAAAATCCCATTGGCCCGTTTCTGTTCAGAAACCAGCCAATGGGAGCTGCTTGTTGGAATAACGGGCAGCCAAGAAGAACCACGCACCTCTCCTCTGCTTAGTTATTCAATGAAGCACATGGCCAGGCAAGCAGGCAGGATGGCTGGCTGGGAAACATTTTAAGCTCTGCAAGCCTTAGTTCTGCAGGCAGACAGGCTAGTTTGGCAGCTGGCAGGGAAGCCTCTTGGGCACAGCCTGCTTCTGGCACCTCAGCCCTTTCCTGCCCCAATCCTCTGCCTCCTCCCACTCCATATACGCAAACCCTCTGTCCCCCTCTTGCACCCATACTCCCTCCCAGCTCTGGCACCCCAGTCTCCTGCCCCAGATCACAATCCCCTCCTACCCCAGGTCACATCCCAAACCCCCTGCCTTAGGTCACAACTACTTTCTTCTCCCAAACTCCCTCCCAGACCCCAGTCTCCCTCCTGCATCCCAATCCCATCCCCCAAGCTCCCCTCTGCACCCAACCTCCATCCCAGGCCCCGCATCTCCTCCATTAATATCCTGGAAGAGTGCGGCCCTCGACCACTTTCCAAAATCTTGGAGTGGCCCCCTGTCAAAAATTATTGCCCACCCCTGCTTTAAATGATCTGTTCCTCACAGCTCAGAGTGCTTGTGGAGCTCATGAACTCTTCAGGGCTAATGAATTCTGCAGCCCTTCTCAAGCATTCCTCCTCTGTCTCCTTGAATCCTGCACCCTATCCAAGCTGTGCTTTAATGGGGAACTTTTATGGCCAGATCCTCTGTTGGCGTAAACTGGTGCAACTCTGTGGACTAAGGATTACATGGGCAGCAGGTCATCTAAGTCAATGTAGACTCAATGTAGTCTACATGTAGACTTTTTAAAGTCATTACCATCACCATATGTTTATTTAAGGTCCACAAAAGGTCATGCAGAATTTAGAAGGCCCGCAGGAAAGCCAGAGTGGGATGAGGACCAGATACTTAGATGTGGAATATGTGGAAACAGGCTTAACAATAAAGAGGACTCAGTAGATGAGGGGACTGCATCTACCTGGTGGCCAGTTTTTCATGAGATTGAGCTACTTGGGACTTTGATTGTTCCTTCACCTGTAGGGATATAGAGTCCAATATTATGCTGCATCAGTGGGTTACTGGTTTTCAATGCCATGACCTTTTGTAGTCTTGGTTCTGTGAGGTATTATTGTTTAAAGTAACAGCCTTTATTTACTAGCAGGATTCATCCCTCCCTGCAGCCACTCCCCTGGGCAGTTCTTATTTATGGGCTGAGGTGCTGTTGAAACAATAAACATAGGAAGCTTTGTTTGTGTGAAGTGAAAATGAGGTGACAGCTTTTGCAGTCTGATTCCGGCCATTTTCTTTCATGTCAGGGTGCAAATGCCAGCTGAGGCCTGACACCTTGTTTAATTGTGTGAAGAAAGGACTGAGATTTCTCAATTACCTTTAAATTAACTGCTGCCTGCCATTATATGTTCCCCAAGGATCAATGAGAGGAGGGCACTTAAAAGGGGAGTTTTGCAGGCTGCCTGAACGTACGCTATCTGGGTGTCCAAAAAATCTGTCACTGACATTTTTATCCCCAAGTTTAGTGCTTTAATTAGGAACCTTCTGCATGTCCTGTCTTCACAAACACCATCTGGCATACAGTGGAAAACATTCTCCATTTTCTTTAGAACAGAAAAGTGGAAGTTTCCAAATGTCATTTGCTTCAGTTTAGGGATTTGGCTGGGAAGGTGCGGGGAGGTGAAATAAAACTTCTGAACCATTTCAAAGCAGCAAGGATACAAACAGGAAAATGGAATCTGCATCCAGGCTTGGCTTTGGAGTTAGAATATTTATGATTATGATGCACTAATGCAAGCATTTTCATTGTTGACATATGTATGTGGATTATACTACACGGCCCATTTTACCGCTTCTGTGGCCAGAGCCGGTAGGGGCTCTTTTTATATATGAGTTTGCTTTTTAGTGAATCGATTAATCATCACTGAAGTTGAACATTTTGTTTCTTCAAGAGGCAGACCCCCTTGAAGGATTTTATTGCAGGGTAGAGATCTCGGTTTAAAAGTAAATCCTTGAATAGATTTGGATCCAGCTATATATTACGCATTCACAAATGACTGAATCTGTTCTGTAATGTCAGTTCTTTGTTGTTACCCCATGCACTAGGTGGAAAAAATCCACCATTTTAACAATTATAGACTATAATTCTAAACACTGTGCTGTACCTATTGAGGCAGACCTTTAATTAACTAAATTGGGAGTGAAGAACAGACTCTGAATGGGCTGGAATCTTTAAAGCCTATTAGAGAGTGATCTCTTTTGGACTTACTGAAATCATTGTAAAGGAGAGTGATGAAATTATCTTAGACCAGTGGTCTCCAATCTTTTTAACCACAAGATCACTTTTTCAATTTAAAATAGTGATAGAGATGTAGCCATGTTAGTCTGGTGTAGCTGAAACAAAATACAGGACTATGTAGCACTTTAAAGACTAACAAGATGGTTTATTTTTTTCAATTTAAGTGCAATGTAAGATCTACCTCAAACCCAAACACCCTTGCCCCACTTCCTTCCTGCCCCTTCTCTGAGATCTCACCCTGCTCACTCCATCTCTTTTCCTATAAATATAATAATATGGAGATATACCTGTCTCATAGAACTGGAAGGGACCGTGAGAGGTCATCAAGTCCACTTCCCTGACCTCATGACAGGACCAAGTACCATTCCTCCCCCATCCTCACTCACTTTCACCAGGCTGGGGTAGTGGGTTGGGGTGCAAGCTCTGGTCTTGTGCCAAAGAATTTGGAGTGTGGGAGGGGTTCTAGACTTAGCCCACAGTGGGAGATAGGGGTCCAGGAGGGATTTCAGGGTGCAAGCTCTGGGAAGGAGTTTGGGTGCAGGGGAACCCACGTCTGGGGCAGGAGAAGGTTCAGGGCTGGGACAGGGGTTCAGGAAGCAGTCTCTGGCTGGGCACCATTTAACTGAGATGGCTTCTGGGTGGTGGAGCAGTGGGGTTAAGGCAGGCTTACTCCTGCCCTGGCCCTGTACCACTCCTGAAAGCAGCTTGCATGTTCACCAATGGCTCCATGTGCTGCCCCTCATCTACAGGCACTGAGCCCACAGCTTCTACTGGCTACAGTTCCCCATTATTAATCAATGGGAGCTGCAGGAGTGGTGTCTGCAGGCAAGGACAGCATGTGGACAGTATGTGCTCTGCCTTTCTCAGAGGCTGCAGGGGCAAGCAATAAATGAAGTTAACAACCACCCCCCAAGTATGTGTAGGGTCAGGAGATGAGAGTGATGGACAGTTGGTGTTTGTGAGAATGACAGAGATGCACACAGTGAATGAGAGTGACAGAGATTTACATTGCCAGGCTCCCTCCATTCCTTTCACTCTGAGTGGCGATAGGGTACAGAAGTGGGGAGGAGGAGGGACACCCTGACATCAGTACCCCCCCCCTTCTCCCACGTCCTGCACAGCAAGCAGGAGGCTCCCATGGGGGCAGTTCCAAGGCAGAGGGCAGGAGCAGCATGACAGTGGGTGGAGGGGCAAGTGAAGTGCCAGTGCCCGATAGCTTCCTGGCCAAACCAGTCAGGATCCCCTGTCAGAGGCTCCAAGATCTACCGGTAGAGCCCAATCTACTGGTTGGTGACCACTGTCTTAGACATATCTTGCTAGCCTTAGAGAGTGCAAAACACTTGAACTATGATTTGTATTTGGGATGCCTCCTTCCTTAACACTGTCACTGGGATTAAATGTGACTGTTCTGTATCTACCCGACACAGGAAAAGCACTGTAGCAAGACAACACATGGAGCTGGAATTTGCTGTCAGGAGATTGACTAGATTTATTCACAGCAAGTTCGCAGATACACACTAGTACAATGGAAAGGACTGGTCATCAACAAATCTTTCAGTAGTGCTGAAAGTTGTGTATGAAGAAAATTCAAATTAAAAAATCAATCAATCATCCTTTAAATTGAAGTACAACCCTAACTCCCTTAGGGTATGTCTACACTACCCCGCTAGTTTGAACTAGCGGGGTAATGTAGGCATACCGCAATTGCAAATGAAGCCCGGGATTTGAATTTCCCGGGCTTCATTTGCATAAGCCGGGCGCCGCCATTTTTAAATCCCGGCTGGTTCGAACCCCATGCCGCGCGGCTACACGTGGCATGAACTAGGTCGTTCCTAGTTCGAACTAGGTCGTTCCTAGTTCGAACGACCTAGTTCGTGCCACGTGTAGCCGCGTGGCATGGGGTTCGAACCAGCCGGGATTTAAAAATGGCGGCGCCCGGCTTATGCAAATGAAGCCCGGGAAATTCAAATCCCGGGCTTCATTTGCAATTGTGGTATGCCTACATTACTCTCCTATTTCGAAATAGGAGGGTAGTGTAGACATACCCTTAGAAATGACCAAAAATACAAAAGGAAAAGGTAGAGTTGTGAAACTTAATCTGTTGTGATGAAGATTTTAAGAAAGGGGTAATAGGGTATAGATCCTTTAAAAAGGAAAATCCCCAAAATGAAGAAAAATAATAAGACCATGGACTTGGATGACAGACTTTCAGTGAAGATTCAGGATTCTTCCTGCTAGATGTTGTTATCATAACTTGGTAGATGGTGACCTCCTCTTGAAATTTATATTGAACAAATCTAGCAGCATGGTGCGGCCGGGGGACTGTGCTGGAGGTGTCATCTTTCATATGAAGAAACATTAAAAACCCTGATCTCTTGCAGTAATTAACCATGGTATGTTGTCCATGACAATGGTACTGTCTAACTCCAGATTAAATTTGAATAGTGGGTCAAATTCTCTCTACCACTATTTTCTCCTTAGTCCACTGGAATTCTTTCTCTCTCTCTCTCTCTCTCTCTCAACTGGTTAAGTGTTGGTGTTCACTGTATGCCAAATTTTACCCCAAAACGAGCTATCTACATTTCAGTGATGAAGTGAATCAGATGCAATTTAAGTGCTGTAGGATCATAGGTATTATGTTTGTTTAAAAGATTTTAAAGGTTTTGTACTTATTGTATGGGAACTACTTGCCCCATCCTTAAAATTAAAATCCTAAATTAAGATGATCAGAAATAGGAATGCCAATTATTCTATAAATTTGGGGAAATAAAACAAATCTAGCCATTAGTTTTCTGTGTACCTAGACCTAAGTCACCAAAGATTATCTTCAATGCCTGAGATGACACACAGAGTAACACATCTTTTTCAAAAGTACTCTGCTACCAGCAGCTCTCAGGCATTCATAACAATAGGAGCTATTGAGTGCTCTTAGGAAAATCTGGGTCCAATTGTGGACAACTGAACGCTTTTTAAAACCTACCCTTCTAATCATCCCTTCACATAGTAAACTCTCAAGCTTTTGAAGTCACTGTCACAATGATGTCAAAGTCTTTTTTTGCGGGGGTGGGGGGAAAGGTTTGACCAATTCTGACACTGACTTAAATAACATTTTGCCTAGAGGCATTAACAAGGGCACATGCCCTGCCCTTGAGTTGAGCTGAGAGAACCTTGATTAGCTTCTAACTGTTGTTTTGTTAATCTAATGAATGGCTTTTTAGGAAACAACAAAGTAAATGCTTATTAGTCCTGAAGACTTCATCCATTATAAAACTCCAGGCCTCCAAAAGGTCAGAAAATGACAGAATGGAGGAGGAAAACTTTTAAACATTCCCATCTGTCTTAGTTATTTACCATGTCAAATACAGTTGACAGAATGGTTTTTATTTTGTCTGATCCTTACAGACGGTAAAGGCCTGTTTCTCACACTCCTCTGGAAGAACCCTGAATATAAACCTGGAGATGTCATAAATGAGAAAATAACATAAATGAGAAAGTAACGCCTGTCCATTGTACTCAGGTAGAAGAATCCTGAGTCTCACAAATGAATTATTCCAGATGAGCAGTGTGCAGAAAATAAGCAGCTGATGCCCCTTAGACTTTAGATAAATATATGTTAATTTTTTAAACAATCTGAATAAACACTTTATTATAGTGTGATTCAGTGTCTCAACCTCAGTGAATGCTTCTATACGGCACCTATCCTAGTGCTTGTCCAATGGAAACAAATGACAATAAAAATTGTTTCCTCCTATCCCACCCCATCACATAATTTTGTGTCAATGCATCTGAAATGGCGGCAGCCTAATACAGTAACTCAGATCTGCTCCTGCCTATTCTAGTCCCTCCATCCTTGAGATACAGAGAGCATAACATACTCACGGTACAGAGACTGGATTGAATTTAAACTGCAGAACAGTCCCCATCACATCATTCGCTCCTGTGGTGATTCCTTGAAAGCAAGAAATCCAGATTTTGTTCTCTCCATCTGCCTCTATTATGCTGCAAAAATGGTTGGGTGAGCAATAAGTTGCTTTAATTTGGACAAAATCTTCATGACAGAAATTCAAAAGTAAGAAAACTCTTTTGCTTCTGCTACACTGGTTAACTTGGAGGTTATTGCACAATGCATGTATATACTTTGGCTATGGTGGCTTTTTATAGTGTGATAGCAAATTGGCAGTATTATCTCACTGTGAGATTGCAGTGGAAATTAGGCACTTTTTATTATGTTGCAAGAGCCACATGTTACATGCTGCCTGTGGTTGTCCTGGCCCTGATTACCTTGTATTAAAATACCCTATTACATTTTTATAGCCTTAAATTGCAAATGCACCTTACTTATCCCACAGTTAAAAAAATTCTCTTTTTTTTAAGGGAAGACAAAGCTTTAGTCTGAGAAAGGTGTTAGATGTCTCGTATGATATAGGGCATTATGTCAATAATTTTTATTGCTAAGTCAAAGTTTATTTTTAATCGTTCTGACGTCAGTACAATGCACTCTGCTAATGTGAGATGAAAATGGATTGTGCCGTTTTCCAGCAGCTACAGTGTGGATCAGATAAAAATGATATGAATGTGCTCAGAAATGGGAAGTGGAGGCAGAAACAAGTCACCAATAAATATCTGCCTTGTACCAAGACAATAGTATTTACACTGGGAAGAGAAAAATCGCTCTTGGAAGCGATCAGTGGTCTTTTGGACAGAAGATAGACTGACTCTGGCAAGTATTTTAATGTTCATTATAATGATATCACTGAGCTGCATATATGCTGAGCAAACTTCCCTAAATAGCTCTCCCAGTGTACTTATATCCTCAACCTCAGTCCCCTCCTCATTAGCTCCTATAGGTCTCGTGAGCAGAAAATTCACATTACACCAAATTGTATCATTATTATTTTTAGAAAGTTGAAAAAAATCCACTGGGGACACCATGATAGAGAGACACCATGAAGCACATTTCACTTCTGTCCAAAGTTTCATTTCAACTCATGACTGTTTTGCATTAAAACTACATAGGGGATCCAGTCATTAATATAGTCAACCAACACAGTGGTGATATACAGACTCCATGATGATTAACTATGAAGGGCAGTATTGTGTGGCCTGATCCTATTACTCTGAAATCCATAAGGGCTTTGTTGTCTGAAGTATGTTTACCTACTAAAATGCAACAGGCCTCCTTTTATAACACTATCTGTCAGTGTTTGAGTGAATGCAAATGGTAAGTTAATAGCAATAGGCTGCTACAAATGGAAAAAAACAAACCAAGAGTAACAACACATTTTGATTCATGCTCCTAAACTCCTTGCAGTTGTATTTCATAGGAATTATGGCATTGTTTAAACCATCACAATTATTCTGGTTCTCTGTAATCTCTGCAATAAGAGCAATCATACTAGAGTCAGAGTAACTATTATGTAAATCTACAATCCAATATAATGTGTTGCCCAATCCAATATAATATGGATGTAAGTCATGTCACCTTCTGGAGCTTCAGGGGGTAGCTGAGTTAGTCTGTTACAGAAAAAACAAATGGTCTGGTAGCACTTTATAGACTAACAAAACATGTAGATGATATCATGAACTTTCCTGGGCACAGCCCACTTCTTCAGATGACTGGAGTATGAGTAGGGGATATGAAAACTCGAAATAAATAGGAGAAGGGAAGGGGGGTAGAGAAACACGGTGGCAGATGCACTGCTGGCCCTTTTCAACAGGGTGGGGCTTCCCCAGGAGGTCCTCACGGGCCAGGGATACAATCGCAAGTCGGCCCTGCTCCAGTGCTTGTGGGAGAAGCATGGGGCCTGCCTCACCTGAACCCCAGCATATGGCGCCCGGTCCAACGGGCTGGTGGGGAGGTTCCAGGGGACCCTGAAGCAGATGCTGGAGGCCTTCATGCACCTGCACCCGCAGAACTGAGAGAAGAACTTGCCCCACCTGCTGTCTGCACATAGGGAGGCACCCCGAGGGTCTGCCAAGTTCTCGCCGATGGAGCCAAGGTGTGGAAGGAGGAAGGACCCCCCAGGCTTGCTGAGAGAGTTGGGGGGGGGGGGGGAAACCCCCTTCTCCTATTTATTTCGAGTTTTCATATCCCCTACTCATACTCCGGTCATCTGAAGAAGTGGGCTGTGCCCATGAAAGCTCCTGATACCATCTACATGTCTTGTTAGTCTGTAAAGTGCTACCAGACCATTTGTTGTTTTTTATGTCACTTTCTGTTATTGTAAATCATGTCATTTTCCTAGCAACTTTCAGTAATTGCTTGTACAACCTTTAAGCTTTGTAACATTCCATCATGTGACAAGGGAGTGTGTGTATGTGTGGTATGTAAGTTATGTTTGTGTGTAAGTGATAAGAGAGCGTGAATAAGGGAATGTCTGTGCCTGGGTGGAAAGGAACTGTAAGGCTACAGACTTGGAGCCAAGAGCCAGGTGGGGTCTGATGTAATCATCTCTTGCACATGAGTAAGGCAAAAACAGAGATATAGAAAAGATTAGAAGAATAACTTAATATTCATGAGGAGAATGAGAACTAGGTGGGCCTCTTGGTGACAGACACAGAAAAAGAACTCAGTGTATGTGACAGCTCACCAGCCCAGAATCATGACTGTAGGCACAGACATCAGACCCACCATGCTTGGCCTCTTTTGCTATCTCTGTGCAACTCATTGCCTGTGTGTCTGTGTGTATGGATTGTGTGTGCGTGTGTGAAGGAGTTCCAGTCCTTTTTTGCTTGATCCAATATGTGTAACCCTGGGTTGGTCATGAGTGAAATTAGGTAACAGTAGCAATCATGTAAGTCAAGTTTGCAAACCATTTACAATTTCTACATATAACCCTCTATTTCCACACATCAGAACTTTACAAAACATTCATTTTATAGGATGAAATGTTCATTCTTAAGAGATTTTTTTTAAAAGGGGTTGAGTAAAATTCCTTCAGCTGAGTTTGACTTGCAAAAATATATTTTTCCTGTGTTAGGAAAATTGAAGATGCTAATTTGAGCATGTTGTGTAAAGCCTCTGCCTGAGCTATTACCCTATACATTGGAGCTACTTGATTTACACACACATTTTCTGGAAATGCATTAAATTGCAAGGTCCTGCCAACACATGACTTAGAGAATGACAAAACCTGCTGCTGACTGCATTGCTATGAACACTGTTTGTGGGGACAGTTTTCTTCTAAGTCACTTTATTACTGCTGATTTGTAGATGATTCAGATAGGAATTGTTCTCAGCCAGTTGTTGTCCTTTAGGAGGTGTCTTTGAAACTATTGAGCCTTGAAGCTTTGTAATCGTTTCTTTGTAACTTTCAGCTGCTTTGCTTTTTAAGCTTACTTATTATAAGCTCCCTGATAGTTGAACTTTGCAACTTTGAAATCTGTTGTAACTTCCAGCCACTTTGCTTTTTAAATCCTGTAACTTACTCTAAGCTGAATTCCACCCCGTGGTAAGACTGTACATGTGAATGGAGACTGGGGCATGTTTGGGGTGAGGAAAACAGCAAGACTATGTCTACATTGGCGTGATTTTGCACAAGAACTCTTTTGCGGAAGAGTTCTTGTGCAAAAACTCTTCCAGAAGAGAGCGTCTACACTGGCATGTGCCTTTGCGCAAGAGATGTGCTTTTGCGCAAGAGCATCCGTGCCAGTGTAGACGTTCTCTTGCGCAAGAAAGCTCCGATGGCCATTTTAACCATAGGGCTTTCTTGCGCAAGAAATTCATGTTGCCTGTCTACACTGGCCTCTTGCGCAAGAACAGTTGCACAAGAGGGCTTATTCCTGAGCGGGAGCATCATATTTCTTGCGCAAGAAGCACTGATTTCATACATTAGAACGTCAGTGTTCTTGCGCAATAACTCGTGGACAATGTAGACAGGCAGCAAGTTTTTGCACAAAAGGAGCCGCTTTTGCACAAGATTGCGCCAATGTAGACACAGCCCAAGGCTAAAAATGTGGAGCTGGGAGCCAGGTGATGACTAATTAAAGAAATCATGGAGACACCACTGCTCTAAACAAACAAAGGACTTGGATTGAGGGAGGTTTGGGCATGTTTTTTGGGGATGAAGGGCCCTGCATGCATGATAGGATCTGCCCAGTTCCAATAAAAAGGGGACCGCAGGTGGCAGAAGCCTTCTTTATGATTAGCTTGCCCACCGGGATCCATGGCTGCAGGAAGATGCTCCAAACATGCTACGCCTTGGCTTTTTCTTTCTCTCTCTAGAGGCTACGTCTACACTGCAGGCTTCTTGCACAATAACTTTTTGCAGAAGAAATCTGCAAAAAGTTCTTGCACAAGAGCGTTTCCACACTGCCATGGATGCTCTTGCGCAAGAAAGCTCTGATGGCCATTCTGTGAATGGCCATCAGAGCACCTGTGCTTTTTCCAATAGGGGTTTCTTGCACAAGAAACCCCTGTTGTCCATCCACACACACCTTTTAGTGCAAGAACTCTTGCGAAGAAAGGTTTATTCCTTTTAGAAAGAGGACTAAATCTTGTGCAAAAAGCCCTGTCTTCTGACAATCTTTTTCTTGTGCAAAAACGTGCTTGTAGTGTGGACGGTCCATGAGTTTTTGCGCAAAAACTCTGCAGTGTAGACGTAGCCTCAGTAACCCTTGTCTGCATAAATGTGTGAGCTCCTTCCCCTTGAGTTTAACCCTATAGTGGCATTCAATGACAGCTCAGTCCCCTTTAGTTTAACCCTGTAGTGAATTGTTAATTCCTCATTTAATAAATCCATATGAGTGTAACCCTGGGGTGTTCTCCAGTGAAATTTGGGATAACTGAACAGGGTTATGGCAAAATCTCTTGGGGTCAGATCCTGCTGAGTATCTGTCTGTTAATGTTTGAATCTTGGCTACTCCTCCAGAAGAACTAATGTCTTGGTTCTGAAAAAGGTTAAATCACAACCACAATGTTAAGACTACTTGAAAAATGGATGCTTAGAAGGAGCTAGTAAATGTTGTTCGGTGGAAGTTGAGAGGTAAGGTACTTTTAGTCACACTATGGCAAGTGTGTACTGATCAAATCTAATTAAAAGGCAGAAATGACTCCAAACAGCTACTGTCTCATTGTTAGCCCCATGGTCACCAACCAGTCGATTGCGATCAACTCGTAGATTGCAGGGGCATGGCCAGTCGACTGTGAGGCAGTGTTCCCAGCCCCACTTGGTCCCTCCCCACCCACAACAAGGAGCCTGCGCTGGTGCTACAGCTTCCCACAGAAATAGAGCTAGCTCTAGCTCCTACAGCGTGGGGGGAAGATCCATAGCTGAGCTAGCTCCGGCTCCTGTGGCATGGAGGGGGGGGGGGGTCACTTCCCCCCGCCACACTGCAGGAAGGAAGGCAGGACGAGAAAGGAAGAGAAGACAAGAAAGCGTGCGCTCCTTCCCTGGCCACTACAGCATGTGCTTTCTTGTTTCTCTTTCTTCTCCATGCTCTGGGAAGGCAGGGGGCAGACAGCCCCCGCCAGGCTTCTGCACAATCACAGGCTCCCAGCGCCAATGGCGGCCCCGCCTCCCAACCTGGGAGTCCCAGCTGGGAGGAGGGGCTGGGAGGCGGGGCCACCATTGGCGCTGGGAGCCTGTGATTGCACAGAAGCCTGGCAGAGGTAGAGGGAGTGGTTGGGAGTCCACCCCCGCAAGACTCCCAGTGCCAATAGTGTTCCCGCCTGGGAGTCCCAGTGGGGAGGCGGAGTTGAGATTGCCACTTATCCCGCATTCCTTTTTTTTTTTCTTTCTCCCTCCATTAGGGAGTCCAGTATTTTTTGGGAGACCATCCGGCAACCCTAATGGAGATGCCTAGGTACCAGTCGAGCTGCTTCTTCCCTGGCCAGACTACCACCAGTACCAAGCCCTCTGGCCAGACCCTCAACCCGCACCCCCACATCCGTAAGCCTGTGGTTTGCTCCCGTACCCTAACTTTCAACCTGACCCTAACATTCTCCAGTCTGGAGCCCCCTCCCCGATCCAGCATCTCCACCTCCTCCTGCACCCAAATTCCCTCCCAGAGCTTGCACCTCAGCCCTTCCCACCCCCAAACCGCTCATTCCCACCCCAGATTCCGCACCTCCTGTCTCAACCCAGTGAGAGTGATGATGGAGAGAAAGGGAATGGAGGGCACTGGGCCTCAAGGAAAAGGTGGGGTCTTGAGGAAGAGGTGGGGTTGATCTTGGCTTGCCCTGACATTTAAAAAGTGATCTTGGGTGTAAGAAGGCTGGAGACCACTGGTTTAGTCATTCCCTCAGGTTATGTTTTTGGACTGTCTTAGTGTGGGCCTCCTGGCCTCATGATCCTTAACATGTTATTGCTGCCCCTTTTAGACCCAAGAGGCTAGTCAAAGTTTGGGGCCCTGGGAGTTCCAGTTGAAAGTAGAAATTGATGGAGTCTGGTAGTCTCTGTGATACAATCTTGTTTATTGCCAAGGAATGTATGAAGTCCGGCTTCTCTGAACACAGGAGGAAGTAAGAACAGAAGGAGCAATTTGGTAGCTTATAGCCCCCAATGGCTCCTTACGCAACAGACCAAAAGCTCTTTCTCTGACTTTTTCCCAGGGTTGCACCTTCCTTATAGGCTAATGTTTGGCTTTCTTGACTTTTGTCTCAGTCTCTGTTTTAATCTTGTCTCCGTTCATGTATGTTCTCTTCCATTCCTTCTGTCCACCTCCCCCCCTGCACCTAGTGACAATACCAGTGGATCTGCATGTCCACATGGCACAAGTTTCTGGGCAGACTCTGTTAGACTTTATTTTGTCTGTGACCCCTTACAGAGTTTCTACATCCATGGTGGCCAGGATGGTATTTTCAGGAAGATTACTGATGTTTTGTAGTTTTCTCAGGAAGTCGGTGGTGTTGCGAAGGTAGCTAGGGATGTTTGTGTCATAGGGTCTGAGGACAGAGGCAATGTAGCCAGATAATCCTCTTGTAAGTGTGCCAATGCTTGAGATGATGGGTTGTCTGGGATTTTTAGGTTTGTGTGTCTTGGGTAGCAGATAGAAAACTCCTGCTCGGGAATTAGGCGGGGGTGTTGGTGTAAATCTAGTCCTGAGCAGCATCAGGGAGCTTCATGAGCAGTTGTTTCAGGGGGTCTTTTTGTATTCTTTAGTGGGATCACAGTATAGAGGCTTGTAGAATCTGTTATTGGTAAGTTGTCTGGTTGCCTCCCATTCATAATCTGTTCTGTTCATGATGACTACAGTGCCCCCTTTGTCAGCCTCTTTGATTTTGATGTTAGAATTGTTTTTGAGGCTGTGTACAGCACTGTGTTCTGCATGACTAAGGTTGTATGTTATATGTTGTTTTCTGCTGACAACGTCAGCTTGAGAATGTTTGTGGAAGCAGTCAATGTAGAAATAAAGACTCTCGTTACAACTGTTAGTAAGGGTCCACATAGAAGCCTTCGTCTTGTGGGATTGGCAGGGAGGAGCAGCAAAGTCTGTGTGTTGTACATCAGTGTGTTGGAAAAAATCCTTCAGGCAGAGGCGATGAAAATAGGCGTCCAAATCTCCACAGAACTGAATCATCTTCATAGGGGTGGTGGGGCAGAAGGAGAGTTAGCTTTAAACCCTTGGGATGGACTTCGGTGTAGGTGTACGTGTGCTAAGCTAGAGTTTTTCTTAGGTGCAAGGACTAGTGAAGGGGAACAGTTTGTTCCACTAAAGACATTTCATTTTTAAACACAGTAGGTGCTATTTATTTACTGAGCTCAGGAGTTAGTTTATTGCTGTGTGTGCTGGGTCCCTCATTCCAAGTAAGAAAACAGAGAAAAGACAGTGATGGAGGTAAGTACCACACTGCAGTAAATGTCAAGATTCTAATCACATTTGCTGTATTACTTCCAGTTCAGAACTATCCCAGTGTGCTGTACAGACACCCTCTAACTTATTGCTCCATACTGCCCACAGAAATGCATATAATGACATGACAGACTCTTACCCTCCCCATAAAGACCCAAACTCACTTAGCTACTTAACTTTAAGCATGTAAGTATTGCCATTGTGTGTAGGATCTGAGGTCCATGGGTCTCCAGTGCTGGCAGGTCCCTCGGGTGGTGTCAACTGTCCCCCTGTTATGCTTAAACAAAGCACGCGAGATCTTTTATAGGGGAAAAGGCAGCACGTGGCATTTATTGAGAATACAACAGTAGCATATGCTTTTCAGTCACTCACACACACCAACACCATACACACGCAGTCCTGTCAGACAATGGTATAGTTACCAGTCCAGAGTCTGGATCAATCTAGTAGCCAGCTAGATCAACCACAAAGGGGGAGCAGGGCCTTTTGTCAGTCACGATCTGACACTCTCCTGGAGTTGGTAGCAAGATGAACTTAAAGTTCCATGGCAAAGGACCCTGCTTTTATAATCCTTTTCTCTGTTGAAGTCTATGGATTTTGCTGTGTCAATCTGTGACCAGCTACTGTTATCTTGTTAATGTTAATCATTCCCAAAACATCACCAAGAGGTTCATCCTGTCCTGGATTGTTAATCAGTTGATTTTAGGTATGCCTTCACTTTTAGAGCAGTCAGTCTGCCAATCTGATTAATTCTTAACCATGGTTACGCATTGATGCTTCCTCTGACGCTGATATGTCTCTTTGCAGTCTGTCTTCACCCGCATTGCCCCATCCTTTCTTGGCAATCTGGCTGTTGGTGGCTTTCACACCATTATCTTTATGATGCTACATTTCTCATTCACACACACAGTCTTTCATAGAAACCTTCTAAGGTAAACAGTACTGTTTTATATTAAGCAAAAACAAAATCAAAACAATTCACATCGAAGGCCCGGGCCTTCAATATTTCTAATCTCATTAACATAGACACAAGACCAAAATCCTGTCTCTTTACTTACTTAACTTTAAAAAAAATGTATATTTAACTAAAGGACTTAATTCATAAAATATTAAATATGTTACCCTACATTACTACATTATTAAGCCTAAAATACAAATATAAAAAGATATAAAACCCTTACTCCAACACCCCCTTTCACTGCTGGTCTGGCTGTGGAGAACAGAGAGATGGTCCATCATCTCTGGAGACACTGTGCCTGAAGCCTAGCCCTCACCTCTGAGGCAAGACTGTCAGTTGAGGTGAAGGCGATATGCTTGGAGCAAGGACATGTGTGGGCTAGCCAGTGGGCCATTTCCTGTAGCGGCCCAGATGTCCAAGGTAGAAGCCTCACTACCCCTATGTCCTAGGGACAAGCAGGCATGTGAAGGTGCCGGCCAGACCGGGATGCTGTGGGCGGGAGAAGGGCCATGGGGCAGCTGAGTTTCCCTCCAGCCCGTGCACATGCTGGGTCCCGCAGGGAGAGAACTGCTATCCCTGTCTGCTGGAAGAGAGGGGGGCAGGGTGCTTGGGGGAGATGTGCGTGAGCAGCATATGATCCTGCTCCTTACTGCGCTGTCCCCGAGAGCAGATGCTGCCCCAAAAGTGTGGATATGCCTGTCTGCTGAGAGTGTGTCTATATCCCTATCCTCTTTCTAGTGGTGACTTGCAGTGGTAGGGTGTCCCACCTGGTGTCAAGAGTATGGCAGGACTCTCCAGATACCCTGTGGCCAATAGCATAAGGGTCCTCTGGTGCAGCCTGCTGGGGCTGTGTGCCCTGGCCTGGTGCGCTATGTGCTCCCATGTGCACAGGCTGCTGCGCAATCCCCAGGCCACAAAGGCCAAGTGAGAAGCATGCAGCTGTCCCTCGCCACCTCCACCTTGTGGGTGTAAGGAACATGATGGCACTCACCTGATGTGGCTTACCCAGCCTTGGACGATGCCTGGGACACATCCAGAGAATGGGGTACCAACTCCAGGGTCAGAAGGGCTGTTGTGCTGGCCTCATCCAGCTCCTCCTCTTCCACGTCTCTGTCCCCCTGGAGGGCAAAGACCGGTGTCTTGAGCCCTGAGTCCACTACCGGGAGGGGGCAGGGTAAGGGACTGCCCCAACCCCCAGGATGTGGTGCAGGTCCTCATAGTAGGGGCAGGTGTGGGGTTCTGCCCTGGAGCGGGAGTTGTGCTCTCGGGCCTTGGCATACACCTGGTGGAGTTCTTTAACTTTCATCAACGCCTGTTCCTGGGTGCGGATGTGCCCCTCGGTGCCCAGGCTGTTGGCCATGCAGCCATAGACATCAGCATTCTGACATCTGGTGCAGAGATCCTGGAGGTTGGTCTCATCATCCCAAATCTCAATAAAGTCCAGGATCTCTGCACCGGACCAGGAAGACGCACGTTTCTTCCATCCGTGGGCAGCGTCTTGTGAGCTGGGGGACTGCTTCCTCAAGGCAGTGGCAGCTGCTGGGTGGCTCAGGGCCGTCAGAGCCTGCTGTCTGCCACGAGCCCTTTCCCCTGAGGCTGCAGCTTTAAGGGGTCCAGGCAAAGAGGGGACTACAGAGTTTGGCTGAGTATAGACAGAACAGCCAGCAGGGCACCATGGGAAGGGCTGGAAGCCAATTATTTTGAAATAGCAATTTTGGAAGCGATGTTATTCCTTGTGGAATGAGGTTTACAAATGCCAAAATAAGCAGCCTGTTGTTTCAAAATTATTTTGAAATAATGGGCTTTCTGTGTATATGCTCAGATAGTTGTTTCAGAATAACATCTGTTATTCCAAAATAACACTGCTGTGTAGACATGCCCTTAGACAGATTTTCACCTGCTTTTAACGAGGTCTCATTATGGCCTATGGAGTGAAAATGGCAGCATGCTCAGAAAAAAAAAATTCTTCTCCCTAACATTTTAGTCATCCGTCCTCAATTGCTTGATTTCCTGACTGAGGGATACAGATGGCAGCTGCAATAAATAACAAGGGTGCAAAGCATACTCACCAGCTAGACAATTTGGGGAGTGTGTTAGGAGCTCCATAACTGTATTGTCACACTTGTTATAATTTTATCCCTTCCCCAATAGATCTCACTAATGCAAATTGCTATTAAAATGAGTAAGAATCACTGGTTGTATATTTTCAAATGGGAGCTTTGTGGCTAAAAACACCACTGTTCAATAGTCAATCAGATCTCTATGCCTAACATGCTAATCTGGATTACTATGGCTAGAAGGTAAATACTGCATTTTCCAAGCATGCTCACAAACCTTAACGCTAGTAATCCCCAAAGTGGACTTGTTTCAGAGATTAGCAGAGGTTATCTTCAAAGGTGAGACAAGCAAAGCAAAGATTTCTTGAGGCACTAAAGAGCACTTTCACAGCAGCGACATTTTGCTATTCAAAACTACTTTAAAAGCAATATTTTATTTTAAAATCCAGGTTATATTCCAAGTAAATAACTCAGAAAGCAACTCGTTCATGTGTATTTAGTTTCATAATCTGAATACATTTTAGCTGCAGAATACACCATTACAGAGACAATCTAAAATGTTAGGTGGGCCACTGTAGCCTCTTTTAGCTACATGTAAGCTCATCAAGGATCCGATTCTGTTCTCATGGAAGTCAATGTAAACATTCCCACTGGCGGCAGTCAAATTGGATTGGGCCCAAATAGTGTATCTACACTGCAGTTAAAAACTGCTGCCTTGGGCTCCTAGATTAAGGGGCTATTTAGATCAGTTTAGAATCCAGTCTCTGGGACGTTTGACTGAGGAAGGATCCCTGAGCTTGGTCTCCAGCCCAACCCCAAACATCTACCCCAGAAATAAACTGATCCTAAACTGAAGTCCTGTGAGCAGGCCCACTGACGGGAGAGGGGAGGCAAAGGTGCAATTGCCTCAGGGCCTGGCAATTCAAAGGGGTGCTTCCAAGAGCTTCCTGGAGGTAGATGCCCGGTGCAGCACACCTCAGACACTTGCGGCTCTACCCATTCCAGGAGCATAGAGTCGTCCTCCTGCCCCATTTTGCGCAAGTGCCCAGCAAGTCTGTCTAAACCCCTGCCTATGAGCCTGAGTCAGCTGACACTGGGCAACTGTAGGTGTTTAACTGAACACAGGCGTACCATAACATGCACTCACTGAAATCAATGAAAGTGTTGCCATTGACATCATTGGTGTCCCAGTGCAGAGCACTAGCAGAGGGGTCAGCAACCTTTTCAAACCAAAGTTCCAAACGACATCAAAATTCAGAACAAGTGGGCAACAAAGAGCCAGTATAAAAATGCCCATTTGCATGACTGAAAATACACAACTTAATATTATTAATTGACATGATTAATAATAGCATAAATGAAACATTTATGCAGACTTTATTTAATGGGACTTCTGCTGCTGGGAATGCAGGAGTCAGAGTTGGGATGTATGCGGGGATCAGGTCAGGGGGCTAGAGTGTGTGGGAGATGCTGCAGACAGGGCAGGGGCCTAGGGGTGGGAAGTAGAGTATGTGGGAGACCCAGGGCAAGATTACCTTACCTGGCAGGGGCTGGGCTGCTGCACCTGGGCAGCAATGGTTGGATGAGGGGCCGGGCCCGGATTGCTGCAACCAGATCGTGGCCTACCCATGCTGCAGCTGGAGGGGGGGCCTCCAGCCCCTGTCACTTTCCTGGCTGGGACTGCGCACATATTCCCTACAGCGCACCCTCAGCCAGCCCTTTAAATGAGCAGACAGCCGCAGCTGGCCTGTTTTATGCATTTTTTTAAATAGTGAATTAATTTTAATTTAAGAAGTTGTATGTATTTTGACAAAAGAGCAGTGGATCTCCAGACATTTTGGCCTATGGCCTACCTGGCTAAATTTAAACCTTTCAGTAGAAACCAACTCCTAATGGAAACTCAACGTTAATTATATAATTACACACAAGCCATTTCGCTAGTGCTGCAACTAAGAAGAACAGTTTACTTTAAACAGTAAGAAAGGAAATATTAATGGAAATTATTAAACAGAGTAAGCACTTTAACTTTCTCATGTTCGTTTACCAAACTTCATTTTAAATAAAGTAAAATATTATGTCCAACACAAATGGTTTCAACATTGACTTTATTTATGGCAGGGGTGAGGAACCTTTTTTGGGTCGGGGCCACTGACATAAAGAAAAATCAGTTGAGGACCACGCAAGTGAAAAGCTAAAACACAAAACAAAACAAAAAAACAACCCTCCAAAAAACCCCAACCCTTACTGATTTCACCCCTCAACTGAGACACCTGACTCCCTGGCAGTAGAGCTCGGGGTTGGGGGAGGGAGGGCAGAGAGGACTGAGGTTCAAGGCCTTAGACCAAGTTAATTCTTCTGGGGTTCCAGAGTTAGTGGATTTTGAGGGGCCCTTTAGGCTCTGGGGTGGGGCCAAAAATGAGGGGTTCCATGTACTGGACAGAGTTGCCAGTGAATGGGATCGGGGAGTGGGTTGTAAGATTTGGGTGGGAGGCAGGGTGCAGGAGCAGCCTGGGGGGTGCGGGATCCCAGCCTGGGGTGGGTATGAGTGAGGGGGTGGGGGTGCAGGATCTGGGCATAGCCAACTTTAGAAAATATAATTACATGGCATGCTTGTTCTGCACACAAAATATATAAAGCAGAGTTAAAGCTCTCTGATAAAACAAAAGCAGATTTTCCTTAATTATCTGATTTCATCAACTCATAAGCATTCTTACCATAAGCATGCTTACCATGCATAGTGACCATTCTACACGTTGGTCCTCTCTTTGCCCTCTTCTGCCTCTCTTGCCCAGTAGTCTGCATAGCCGCCCCTTTCAACTCTTTCCTCCTCCCTTGCCGCTATAGTCTTTTAGGACGTTGACCTCACCCGTCTGTCCTTGGTCCTCTGTTGTCCCTTACTGTTTGTCAGGCAATTAGTGTTGCTGTCCCCTTGTTGCTCTCTGCTGCCACCTAGTGGCCATTCTGAAGTATAGCATCTCTTCTCCTGCCCCCTTTCTCCTTTGGTGTCCATGAGGCAAAATAGGCCTGGTGTTCTCTTAGCCATTCTGCTGTCTAGAGTGTCTGTAAGGTGTTATAATTGGCCTGTCCCTGCTTTCAGTCTTGGCAAGCCCTGGTTCCCAGGAGGACAGCATTACAGCCCTTTTCACCCCCTGATGTTCCTGAGGCACCTTTTGCTCAGGCCTTTCAGGAAATGGAGCTGCCCCAGTGAACCTTCTGTCTGCTCTGGCCCCTGGTGCCCATTCTCCTGGTTGGCCACTTTGTTCCTCTCTTTGCCCTCTTCTCTCTCTCTTGCCCATTAGTCTGGATAGCCGCCCCTTTCCTCCTACTCTTCCCTGAGGGCCTTTTAGGATGTTGACCTTGCCTATCCCTCCTTGACCTCGGCTTTTCATAGTCATTGTGAAGAAAAAACAACAAATAGACTAGTAGCACCTTAAAGACTAACAAAACATGTAGATGGTATCATGAGCTTCCATGGGTTGCAACCCACGAATGCTCATGATCCCATCTACATGTTTGTTAGTCTTTAAGGTGCTCATAGTCTATTTGTTGTTTTTTTAAGTTTTTCCTGTTACAGACTAACTGACTACCCCTCTGAAGCTTTTATGAAGAAAGGTTCCTGTGGCCTTGTTGCACTCTGCTGTCCCCTAGTGGCCATCTGGAAGTACTGCATGCCCGTTTCCCTTTAGTGTCCCTTAGGCAAAATAGGCGCTCTTTCCCCTTTCCTATTCTTCTTCTGTCCACAGTGGCCATTGGGCTGTTAGAGCTGCCCTGTCCCTACTTTCACTCTCGAGCCCCTAGTGCCCACCAGGGCAGCATAACACCCTCTTTCCGCCTCTTCTGTCCTTTGTGACCTTTCCCCTTCGCTCTGTCCTTCCCCTCAAGCCCTTGATGTATTATATAGCTGCCCATGTTGGCTTCAATCTTCTCTGGCCTCTTGTTCCCATTATGCAGGTTGGGCATTTCTTTGCCCTCTCTTCCGCCTCTGTTCCCCGTTACTCAGCACTGCCACCCTTATTCCCCTGGAAGTTTCTGTCTCCTGTAGTGGGTGTTACACAGTACAGCTGCCCTTTCCGCTTCTCAGAATCAACGGGCAATAGGAGCCACCGACTGAAAGAGTCAAAGGGCAGCAGCTGTATTGCACGACACCCAGAATGGACTAGAGAAGGCACAAGAGGATATAGGGGGTAGCTCTGCTGCCTAAGGTGCAATAGATGCAACGGAGGCCACAGGAATGTCCATATTACCTAACAGCCACTAGGAGCAGCAATATAGTGAGGAGGCACCACTTTGACCCCCCCCCCCCTTTCTTCCTCCAACTGTCAGTTTGGGATTCCTCCTTTGCTCCCCCTATGGCCTTTTAGTCAGTTTACTACCCCTATTCCTCCTTGGCCCTTTGCTGTCCCTAGTCTTTGTGAGGCAATGTACATGCCTCTGTCCCCTTGGTGTCCTCTGCTGCACCCTAGTGGTCATGGTGAAATATAACCCCTCCTTTCTCCCATTCTTCCCCTTGTAGCCGGTAGGCAAAATAGGCTCCCTTTTCCCTTTCACATTCTGCTCTGTGCAGTGTTCATTGCGTTTTAGAACTGCCCTTTCACTGCTTTCACTCTTTGAAGCCACTAGTGCCCAGCAGGGCAACATAACACCCCTTTCAACTCTGTTTGATACCTGATGCCCCTTAGGCAACATTGCTGCTTTTTTCCTGATTTACTCTGTCATTTCCCTCTGGTTTTTTTGGCAATGGAGCGCTGTTCCCACTGTATTGGTATATTCAATACAGATATTTGGGCAAATAGCTAATACCTGCTTCTGATCACAATATTAGGTCCAGATTCTGCCATTTTACTCATAATGGGTAGTCCTATACTTAAGGTAAATTAAAGTACTCTCTTAACACTTATGTTCTTTATACAGTAGCAATGTCCCCCTCCAGCCAAGCCCCATTTTTTATTCAGTAACCCCTTTCTCCTCTTCACCCTCTTATGTCCACTGTGCAGTGTAGTCCCCAAGGTGACTACTGGTATTCCCTAGTGGGTGTTAAGTAGTGCAGCCATTGACTTTTGCTTGTTGATTCTGAGGAGGGGAATGACAGCTATTACTGCGTAACACCCAGTATAGCATGCAGGGTTGAAAGCGAGGCCTGTTTTTTTAGTTTTGCCTTATAATTGCTGTTTTCAGGATTTTCAGTCTTTATTGTTTCTCTGCAGTTTCTCCAGTTTGTCAACATCTTAAATGAAATGTGGTACCCAGAACTGGTTGTGATAATGGAATTGGACTACTGTGGACTAGTACAGAAGAATTATAGCAATGCTGCTGCTTTTCACCCCTTACAACATCTTCTGCCATTAATGTCTTTTAGGAGGTATAGCTGCCCGCTTCCACTCCTCAGTGTCTGCTACCCCTAGCATCACTGTTATAGGATGTAGCCACCCTTTTCCCTTCTTTTGCCCCATTGCTCTTTCCCCACTTTTTTCCTCTACTGCTCCTGGTGGCCATTATTGAATATAGTCACTCCTTCCCCTTTGTACTGTTACTTCTAGTGCCCATTTTTGCACTGAATTGCTAGTCTCTTTCCCCATTTCCACTCTCTGCATCTCCCTATTGTATGTTAGAGACTTTATCCAGCCCTTTCCCTCTTTTCTGATTGCCCACTCTCATGCCTTTCATAAAATATAGCTGCTACTTCTCCCTTTACATCCCCTTTTCCCTGTAAGGTGGCATAGCCTCCCTTTTGGCTGGGGCTGCTCCAGTCTGCCTTAGGAATGTCAATGTGTAGACGACTACATGATTAACCAATAAGCCCAGTCTTATCAGTTAATCCTGTCAACTACACGTATTTCCACATCATCTGCATCAGAGGCAGCAAGAGGGGGGAGCAGGAGCTGGTAAGAGTGGGGAAACAGCTCCATGGACCTGCCTGCTCGCCCTTTCTCCCTCCTACAGTGGCAGCAGCGGGGGAGGACTGGCTTCACAGACAAGTTTGCACCCCCTTTCCCCTCCCCCAATGCTGCTGCCTCTGTCAGATTCTCTAGCATCCCACGGAGCAGCCTCTGCCCACGTGGAGGTATTTCTCATCTCTATGTCTATGAACTGGACTTTCCTCTCATCCAAGAGCATCAACACAAAACTAAGTGGAGTTACATAAGTATGACTGAAAGGAGAATCAGGCCCCAAGCTTCTTAGAGTATGGACCAAATGAAATCCTTTAGTGTGGGAACAGACTAAGTCAGAACATCATAAATAACTGCATCCCCAAAGTCTGTTCTTTAATCACAGTCCCTGCTAGGGATCATTATGGGATCCTTCCTCTTGCTATTTAGTGGGAAGACTTGACAGCTAACATTTCCCTGTTGTGTCTCCTTACACAAACATACACAACTATTTTGGACTTAGCACCTTTATCCACAAAGGAACTTAGACATATAAACCCCAGAGTTAGGTGTGAGTCTGGATTTAGACCAGTTTTAGGTTATACTGTAATGCACTCACCTCTCTCTTTGGAGTCCTTTCTTTCAGCCAGACAATACTTCAGCTGTCAGCTGCATTTCAGGTTTTTTTTGGCCCTCCACTTCAGGTGACTCCTCTGTTAACTTTTTCCCTGCAAACTCTTCTCTCAGCTCCAAATCCCTTGTTATCCACATAGTCCCCTCAAACTGTAACTTCAATTTCACAATTCCAGTCCCCTGGTCTCACAATAAATCATCTTTCTCCTTATCTTTGCCAGCCAACTTTACATCCAGACTTGCATTTACCTTTGGCTTCACTGGGCTTATAACAGGGTCAAATTTAGTATCAATTAAATAACTTTTTTAGCTTCTTAATGCTCTAAGGTTTAGAGTGTCAAGTATCTCCAAGCATCAAGGAATAAATATAAAAGAATGGTCATAAGCTAAGCAAAATTCTCAGACCTACCACATAAGTTTAAATAAGCAGTTTTTCAAGAATGTGTTGCAGAAGTGTTGATCTCACTCAGTCCCTTCTGAGTCCCTTGGTGACCATCATTTGAAATGTGAATTACAATGTTCTGTGATCAAGATTCAAGGAGGCAGAAATAAAATCAAGGCAATTTTTAGGTGAGGTATTTTTAAAAACTTCTTTAAAATGACTTGGTTAGCCAGTTTTATCCTTGCACCACAAAGTGGAATAAACATGGGAGATCCGAATCTTTTCTAAATATTACTGATGTAAATCAGAACTAACTATACTGGAGTCAATATAGCTACACTGTTGTAAAAACAGCATGAGATCAGAATCCGGCCCCAAATGTCTTATTCTTCTGTATCTGATATGGACTGGCAACAGAGCTTACTTATCTACTCTAGATGTGTTCATCATAAGATCCTTTAATGCTCTGCCAGTTGTGGCTGAGGGCCATTAAAAAAAGAAATTTACACAAAGTGCTACCCAGTGGCAGGACAGGATAATACAGTATGTGATTGCAGTGCATCTTCCCCCTTCTTTCACATTCCTATCATTTACTGCAGGGGTTGGGAACCAGTTTTGGGTCAGGAGCACAAAAAACAAAACAAAAAACTGCCTCTCACTGACCTGACCTCCCAAGTGAGAAGGAGAAAAAAGCCCAGACACCTGTGGCTCCCAACTGTGAAATGGGAAAATAAAAGGAGCTCTTTTTCCCCTCAAGCTGCAGCCTCGCAAGCGGGGGATGGTAGGCACCAAGGCTCAGGGTGACTCTTCTGGGAGCCCAGGGCTAGTGGATTTTGTGGGTCCCAACTAGGCTCTAAGGTGGGGCCAGAAATAAGGGGTTCAGTGCACTGCCAGGGAGCAGGGTGAGAGTAGGGGAGCAGGGTCTGTGTGGTGGAGGCAGTTTGCAGG